ATCAATGCATCGTTTTAAACACAATTTTTGAAGCCAACAGCCAAATGCTTGGGTCCCCGCTTTGCTTTCACTCTTGAGTAGTCATTCTCGATCATATACTGCACTGTTGATTTTGGTAAATTCAGTTCTTGGCTGATTCGGAGATATGAAAAACCATTTGCATGTTTTTCTTTCGCTAACTCGATAATCTCGCGTGAGTGCATGTCAAAAACTGAACAAACTGTTCTCGCCTGAGTTCATGTGAACAGAACCATTTGCGCGCATTTCGTGGCATTTTTTAACAAAAATCTAAAAGTACGAAAAAATTTGGCCAACTTTTGTCTTTAAACAAGTGTTTACCATGTGTTAGGATGGTACAAAAAATTATGACGCGGAGTGTAGTTATAATAGTTGTGATATATACTAGACGTTGAATAAATCATTTTATAGTTGTTCAGGCGCGTGGGTGTTAGAACAAGAAAGTTTATTTTAGGTTTGTGTCGTTAGAGGCTGTTAGTTTTAGGATTTATGAAACGTATTTCGTTCGACCACAATGACGACATGTTTGTGTTCGGGTGGTTTTGTTTCTCAAGATCTTTTTCGACTCTTTTACTAGCAATTTTTGAAAATGCTTTCCAAATCATTCAAAAGTTATTGTTGTTCAGGGCTCACTTTCAAAAATATACCCCCTGTGATCATTTTTCGTGAAACTATAGGGCCTTCAAGTTTGGCATTTTGGCCAGTTTGGATTCGAAAAACGTGCGATATATTTCGAGCACTTAGTGCGAAAGTGGAGATTTTATCCATCTTAGAATTTGTTTCAACTTAAATGAGTGCATGCTATTGATTCAATTATTTACTTTTTTGCAAAATATGACATGGTTGTTTAAAAAAATATGCATTTTGTGGTTAAAAAAAGTTACAGAATACTTGCGCTCGGGATTGTTTTTTGCTTCAGACGAATTTCGACTTTCAAACTAGCCAGTTTTGACGGAATTTTTTAAAATATCATTCAATAAGTATTGTTGTCCTGAGCTGTTTTTCTACATTTTTTTGCTGCGTGAGAGCATGGGAAAGTTTTTTGGCCCATGCATGAAAAAACGCACGTAAAGTCTAAATACAGGCGATTCAAAAACTGATGAATAAAAATGCTAGTTTTTCTACTGAGACTTTTCTCTAATCTAGCCAGCACAGCCATAAAATAATTAAAGTCGAACAGGTTCATATGTTTCTGACCTTCATTTGTGTTAAATTTTTGTAAAGTTATACTGGTTTAAAGATTGCCAATTTGGCAAAGATAGGACAGTTAATGCGCGATACTTTTGAGCACTTAATGCGCAAGTGGAGATTTAATCTGTCTTGGAGTTTGATCCAAACTGAATTAGTTCCTGCTATTGGTTCAATTGAATACAATTTAAAAATCACAATGTTCTTTATATAGCATTTCACGTCATTTTTTTCCGACGTTCCTAACAAAATAGCGGAATATTTGTGCTCGGGTGGGTTTTTTTTCTTCAGACAAATTTTGACGTTTTAACTAGCCATTTTTGACGGATTTTTTTTTTATATCATTCAATAAATATTGTTGTCCTGATTTAATTTCCTATAATTTTCGCTGCGTTTTTTGGCCCATACATGAGAAAACGTATTTAAAGTTTAATTCCAGGCTACTCAAAAGCTGATGAATAATTATGCTAGTCTTTCCGCTGATAGTTTTCCGTAATCTAGCCAGCACGGCCATGAAATAATTTGATATCGAACAGATTTAATTTTTTTCTGACCTTCACCTCTGATCATTTTTCGTAAAGTTATGGGGGTTTAAAGCTTGCCATTTTGGCCAATTTGGGACAATTAACGCGCGATATATTTCGCGCTGTTAACGCGTAAGCGGAGATTTAATCCTTCTTAGTAATCGTTCGTAATTAGTTGAAGGAAGCTGATTTGCCATAATTGATTTGTTAACTAGGAGCGAAATGTATCACTTCGCATTTAATTGGCGTTGGGGTGGGGGGGGTTGTGATGAATTTCACAAAAAATCTCAAATTAAAAAAAAACTTCATTTTTATTTTTTACATTAATTTTTTTAAATGCTATTACTGCTCCATGGGCCGTAAGAGGCATTCGTAACATTCAGGGCCTCGCCTTGATACGAGCAGTCTTGTTTCATTTTTTAAAATTATTTCCATCTTTTTTTTATGTTGAACAGTACTCCATAGTGCCTAAAAGGCAGTTGGAACAATCAAGGCTTCACTCTGATACGAGCAATCTTGTTTGTTTATTTTAAGAAGTGAAAAAGCCACTGTATGTCATTTTGTTGCTCTAACGAAGCCAGAAGGTCCCTTCTGATGGTAGAGAACATAACCTTAGTCAAAGTCCATGTCACTTGCTTATTCTTTTTCATTGAAATGCATCCTCGTATGTGTCATGAAATATATTTTTTAAGCTCAGATTTGAATTCGAATATTGAAGCATTGATAACTTTCCGCCGTCCTAAAAGCGTCCAAAAGAGAACTTGTGATGGAGCTAAGCATCATTTGATTCTCAATTGAAGGTCAAATTTCATTGGCTGATTTCTAACCAACCGCTCCCCACCCCCTAAGTATATCTATCAAACTCGTGCTTTTATACCGTGTAACTGATGGTATTGTATTGGCTCTTTGTTTGAGTCATGTAACCACAAACATACTGTCATAAGTGTCTTATGCTCTGTCGCAAATTCGAGATACTTTTGTAGATTAGTTCGGTTTTACGAATGAAATGTATTTATACTTCTCAACGACCTCGTTTCCAATCCAATGTGACAAGGGAGCATTCTTACTCTACATGAAAGTGGACCCTGGTTGATTCGCAATTTCGAACTATTATCAGTGATGCCAAACAATTTATTGCCCTTGTATCTTCAATGAAGATAGAATTGTTATAAGAAAAACTTATATGTTATATTGGTTGAAATGTTTTGAACAACTGGGATAAATAAAGGCAAACAAGACTGCTCGTATTAGGGGTGGCGTGTCACGGAGCCGAATACCCGGATAGCCGAAAAATAAATTCGTTCCCGGATAGCCGAAAAATAAACTCGTTCCCGGATAGCCCAAAAATAAGTCCATATTTTCTCCCCCTTAAATCAATTTGCGGAGGATACTGTACGGTTGATCCGATCTAGGATTTGCTCGAGGTGATGGGGTGACAAATGTTTTTGAAAAAGCAGGCCAAAAATGCCGTTTGTAGGACTTTTTGAAAAGATTTGACCAAAAAAAGCGTTTTTCAGTGCGTGCTCCCCTTTAAACTTAGTATATATTGAAAAATTTTAGGGTTTGTCGGCCGAAAAGGGACTTTTGTTGTTAAGTAATTCAATGAGAGTACAAAAAATAGCCAATCCAACCTCCTAAAAATGTTCAGAATTTTGTTAGCTAACAGGCTGCAGAATTTTGAGGCACTTTTTGGCCAATCAAAATGCGTCTCAATTTAGTGAAGAGTTTTCTAATTTAATTTAATTAAAACTGGGAAGTTTAGTTTTTTCGGCTATCCGGGAATGCGGATCCGTGGGTACGCACCGCATCAAGGCAAAGCCCTGAATGTTCCGACTGCCTTTTAAGGCTTATGGAGCAGTAATAACATTTAAAAATTCAATGAAATAAAACAAAAGAAAAATTTTTGAAAAATTTTCGAAATGTGAAATTTTTTATGAAAACCATCCCCCCACACGCCATCCAAAGTACAAAAGGATAGGTTTTGCTCCTTGTAACAAATCAATTATGGCAAATAAGCTTCTTTTAACCAATTTGGAACGAGTTCTAAGACGGATTAACTATCCGCTTACGCGTTAATAGCGCGAAATATATCGCGCGTTAATTGTCCCAAATTGGCCAAAATGGCAATCTTTAAACCCCCGTAACTTTACGAAAAATATCTTTTCGCAGGTGAAATATCTTTTCCAATTTGAGCTCAGGACGACAATACCTTTCGAATGATATTAAAAAAATTCCATCAAAAATGGTTAGTTAAAAAGTCGAAACTTGTCTGAAGAAAAAAAAACCCATCCCGAGCACAAATATTCCGCTATTTTCGTATCGAAAGTCGGAACAACAAGTCCGATATTTTTGTTCCGACTTTCGATACGAAAGTAACGGAATATTTGTGCTCGGGGTGGATTTTTTTCTTCAGACAAATTTCGACTTCTTAACTAGCCATTTTTGACGGATTTTTTTTTATCATTCGAAAGCTATTGTTGTCCTGAGCTCAAATTTGAAAAGATATTTTACCTGTGATCATTTTTCGTAAAGTTATGGGGGTTTAAAGATTGCCATTTTGGCCAATTTGGGACAATTAACTCGCGATATATTTCGCGCTTTTAACGCGTAAGCGGAGAGTTAATCCGTCTTAAAATCGTTCCAAATTGGTTCAAAGAAGCTTATTTGTCATAATTGATTTGTTACAAGGAGCGAAATCTATCCTTTTGTACTTTATATGGCGGGTGGGGGATGATTTTCATAAAAAATTTCAAATTTTAGAAAAAAAAATTTGCATTTTATTTTTATTACAATTAATTTTTTGATGTTATTACTGCTCCATAAAGCCTTAAAAGGCAGTCGGATCATTCAGGGCTTCGCCCTGATTTGAGCAGTCTTGTTAGTTTTTCAAATCATATTTTTTTGCTGCGTGAGAGCATGGGAATGTTTTCTGGCCCATATATGAGAAAACGCATGTAATGTCTAAATCCAGGGGACTAAAAAGCTGATGAATAAGTATGCTAGTCTTTCCACTGAGACTTTTTCCTAATCTTTTTCCTAGCCAGCAGTCATGAAATAAATTGAGGTCGAACAGGTTTATACATTTCTGACCATTACAAACTTTTTTCAATGAACTGCACCGACTCTGGTGTTTTTTTTATAGCGTCTAAAAGACAAAGCTACAAAACGAACTATGGTATAACTTATACGTCATGTTCACGAGAAATATCTCGTGTAATTATGGTACCATATCAGCACATGTAGTGATATATTTACCATTTAAATACCACACCAAACATACCATAATAGAATATCTAACCATTACCATGGTATTTTTATCAGCCGCACGATGGCTTTTTTCAATTTGCTACAATAGAGCGACCGTCTTTATTACTCTATTATTCTAACCACCTTCAAAAAAACTTTGTTATTGATTTTAGTTTTTTTGCTCTTCCTTCCGTTCCGAGTTCATATATCAAAGAGAAGCAAAAGAGTAAATCTGATTGTCAAATTGCCTCTTTTCCTTATAAATATCAAAAGCTGATATTTTTCCGCCCTGATAATATATCATTCTTTCTTGCAAAACTCGCCAATTCGCTCTTTTATCCTTTTACTGAAACAAATATCTGAAAAAAGCTTCGGTCAAGTTGCACTATTTGCTACGTGACATAACCTTTTAAATCCCAGAAGAATGTCGATTAGTGTTTTAAGTGATCCATCACTCATCACTATTTCCCTCAATCTCCTTGGTTTGAGTTTCTGTTTTTTCGCCCACGGAGCATCTCATCCCCTTTCATCTTTAAATGGGGATCTTCTCCGAACATCTTCCGAAACCTCGGAGCTTCAAAATTTGTCGCAATGGTTTCAAGCATTTTCGTATTTCTTGCTTGGAATGTGTGTATTTTGCATGTACGAGTGGCTGGTCCATTTCTTTGTGTACCATGGCTGGAAAGTCAGACTGACAGGGGTTGGATGGCAACTGCATATGCGCCATCATCATTATCCAGGTATGTACTATCAGAATGTAATTTCCGCTACTAAATTACGCTGGTAAGTAAGTTATTATTTTCTTGAACTGGTTTTTCACCAGAAAGTTAGCCTGGCTGTGAAGTTAAGTATGTTAGATTATTCCACTTTGTTCCATTGATAAAAACACTTGACTTCATAAAAAACGATTAAATTTTTTCCAGAGAAGCTTCTTCACGTCCCCCACAGTATATCGCAGCAGTACCTCTGGGTCGTCCTGTTCACAATATCAACCCGACTAATCTTTTTCTACCAGTCCAATGACGTCATCGCAATAATAGTTTCTGGCAATCTGATTGGTCTGTATCTGCATGAAGTGGCTCACTTGCATGCTCATGGACATCCGTTTCTAGTGGCACATATAAAGTTCCTCGAACCATGTCGGTGAGTAGGAGGCAGATCATTCATCAAAAAACCTTGTTGAAATCCAAGAAACTTTTAATCACAAGAATTTTTCTAAGCGTGTAGGTCAAACAAAGAGCACAAAAAAGTTTGAAAAGTCATAGATGGAAAAAAAAACTATTAGCGATTTTTTTTGATTTTGTTACTTTTATAACTGATTGATATTTTTTGGATTTTGTTGCTCATTTTAGAGTATGAAAATTTTACTTGAAGTGTATTGAGGTGTAGTTGCAGGTTTTTAGCGAGGATGGGGGTTTGCGGAATTTCAAAAAATTATTGTTGAAAATTTCTTTTTTGTTTCTTAGGTCGACCAAATTGTTTTTCTGAGCTCTCTTCCAAACCACTTTAAAGACCCTGTTTTACCAAACTTTCTGAGCCGCAGGCAAATTTTTGAAAAAAAAGGCCAAAAAGACACGTTGAGGCTATTTTTTGAAAGAATCAATTCAACTCCGCTTGCGAATTATAGCAAAAGTATTGCTAAAAAGTATGAAATCATAATAGAGCAAAACTGCAATAGATTTATTGAAGTCAACAATTTCCTCAGCTTTCAAACTTCTCAATCTTTTTTTTATGTAGACGCTATCACAGTTACCACCACTACTCATGCGAGGACAGCAAAGTGGCCTTCGGTCTAGTGACCCCCTGGGTAGATTACGTCACGGGCTACTTGCCCCCCTACCCCTCCGCCAGTCCATTCCACTGCTACTCCAAACACCACAACTCCTCATTGGCCAACACACTCACTCACCGACTGATGAGACTACCTCTTCCTGTTCCCTTCATGCACTGGATATGCATGTACAGTCTCTCACAAGATGGAGACTTCTGATTGGACGAGGAGAGGAAATATTTTGACCAATAGGAGAGCCGGAGAGTCCTCTTTTTGTCATCTAGTTTCATAAATCGGATATCTGAAACTATTTCGCTGTCGGTTAGATTAGTGATATTGATCAGTAATCAATCAAAAGGGAGTCCGGATCTTGTCAATTTTCCTTCCTATGGTACTTGGTAAAACATCTCCACCCTTTAAAGAAATAATTCAACGATTGAGAATTTGAATATGCTAATGTTGTATTTTGCACTTTTTCTCCTCGTTAACAAGATCCGGGAATCGCTTGATGATCCCCTAAAAACATTGCTACAAAAATAAGATTTTGATAGCTTACTTATTAAATTTTATCAAACAATTATTTTTGAATTGAAGCTATAGTTAGTAAAATGTATTCTTTGTATATTGCAAACACAAAACTGTGACATGCTGTTTTTAACCGCACCTGGATGTGTATAAATGGATCCAGACCTCTTTTTCGAGGGCGATGGGGGATGACGGTAGTTTAAAAAATTCAGTTGACCATTATCTGAGTCAACCATTTCGAAAACTTTTGTCAAAACCCCAGAACTATCAGATTTCAAAGCGTTGCATTAACACTAATACATGATGCTAAAATTTTGGAAAATTAACGAGATAAAAGGAACTGAAGAACTGTACGAAATGGTACAGACACCAAACTTGATCTCTTAATAATGTTCTTCGAGGTGCCCAAAATCTGACAAAAAACCCAACTTCAGCTTCATTTACTTACCTTTCTTCGAGATTGGTCGTGTAATAAAAACATTGACAAGACAGCCGATGAACAATAAAAATTTCAACAAAACAAATGATACATCAACTTATTAGCATTAGAATGCCCATTAAAGCTAAGCAAAACAATCATGAAAAGTAGGATAGCCGGTTGCTGTGCAAGTAGCACAGAAAGTCCCGACGCCAATATTGAGAAAAGCGGTGTGACGAGAAACCTGAACGAAAGCCTAGACTGTAGGCTTTTTGGAAAGCACTAGTGAATTGAGTAATTCAACAACAGTTTTCATTGAAAAATGAATACAAAAAATTGTAACTTATAAAAAACTCAATTTTTTATATAAAATTTTTATTATTCTGAAGGCGCTTAAAAAACTTCAAAACTTAATTTGTTGGAATGAAAACTAAAGCTTACAGCACAACTTGATTTAGACTGTTACAATCCTTATATTTGCGTGCTCGCTTGCTTCATTTAAACGAACTTAAATTAAAAAAAAAACAAGAATTTCAAACTGCTTTTGTTCAGCAATGAGGGTTTTTTTTTAATGTTGTTCGAACCACTACCAAAAAAACTTGAAGGGATATATCACTCAACCCCTTCTGATGATTTTCCTTGACTCCTAATTTTGTGCTAAAAAGAAAAAAAATCTACAACATACCTGAAGACAAAGCTCCTCTCAGTTTTCAGTGGTCAGTACAAAAAAAAAAACTGAAAAAATAACAACAATTTAACAAAATTTTATATCTTTTCTCCCTTCAAAAACTACAGCAAAATTATTTTCTGAAATGGACATGACATTTAATTTCAAACAAACTAAATTTACGTCATATGAACAAAAATAATTCCTTTTTAATCCTTTTATTCATCTATGTATTTGAAAAATTAATTGTCTATTCAGGGGGGTTTGGAGTTTCAAAATGTTTGTCGACTTTTTTTTATTAGGTCGTTCAAATTAATTTTCCGAGCTCTTCCAAAGCACTGAAAAGACCGTATTCAGGCCAATTTTTCTGCGCCACAGTACAAATTATGAAAAACAAAAGACGTTTTTAGGCAGTTTTTGAAAATTTTGACCAAAAAATCGCGTTTTTCGGCGCGCGCTCCCCCATCAAAATTAGTATACATTGGCGCCGAAAGTGCCTTTAGAACATTTTTAAGGTGCGTCACCAAAAATAGTGATATCTCAAAACAGTACAAAGGAGGGACCCTTTGGGTCGCTAGGTGGTCAAATCCCTGTGGAAGGGAGGGCGTTCCGCCTCCCCCCCGTTCCCCCCTAAATCCGCCCTTGCCTGCGGCACAGCAAAAAGTCAAATAGGGTCTTCATCGTGATTTACGAGAGCTTGGATAATCAATTAGGTCGACCGGGGGGTGTAGTTTAGTTAAGATTTGAGAAATATTCGAAAGTTTTTTTTTCAAATTTTCAAATTTTCGACTTTCAACAATTTTGATTATTACTTGTTCTTTTATTGTTCCGACTTTCGAAGAAGTTTTTTTTGGCGCAGGTTGTTTTTTTTTCTCCAGATTTTTCTCTAAAAAAATTAGCTTAAAAATTTATTGTCCGGAGCTCAAATTCAAAAAAAAAATGTTTCACCTGTGATCATTGTTCAAAAAGTTTGCGGGGGTTTAAAGGTTGCCAATTTGGGATACTAAACGCTCGATCTGGTTTAAGCTATAAACGCGTCAGCGGAGACTTAATCCGTATTATAAATTGTTCCAAATTGAATTGAGGCATGTTATTTGATCTATTTATTACTTTGCGATATGCTAAATTTTTTAAGTGAACACATCTCCATAGTCCTTCAAGGGCAGTCGGAACATTGAGGGCTTCGCCCTGATACGCGCACTCTTGCTTCATTTTGAGATATACTCAATATCTTTAACAGCAGCGACTAATTGAGCAAAAAGTCATAGGGTTTGAATTAGTCTTGATTTTACTTGTGTTTTCTTTTACTAGATTTACTTACAAAATTATTTTCCGTTGATTTCTGCGGCCAAGTTTTTCAA